GGTGCATAAGAGAACTGGTTGGGGTGGTGAGTAGGAGGTAAAAGAGTACACATATAACCACAAATCAAAATGTCAAAAATTAAGTGAAACCTCACATATTATTGTTGGTTGGGCCTCTTCCATCTTTATTTTTTTGCAATATTTCATCCATTAGAACGTAGAAGTACCTTCTCAAGGACAAATATATTGTATAACATTGTGATTGGTCACCGCTTTTTATCAAAAGATACAGGTCATGTTTAGTACGAAGGAAAATATTTTTTGAAAAATATTTTTTCAAATTTATCATATTTGGTTGGGTCAAATGTTTTAAAATATTTTTCAAATCAACTCATTTTCCTTAAATATAAGGAAAATAACTACACTCCAAAACTTACATTCTTACAAACTTTCTTTCAACCTCTACTACCCAGCCCACCCTACCAGCCTCCAACCCCCTACCATTCCCCCCCCCCCTCCCTCCCAGCCCCTTATTCCTAAAAAAATTTAAATTTATCTTTAGAAAGTATTTTCAATTTCAAAATTTGATTTTTTCACCCCGACATTTTTTCACCCCTACCGTCAAACCCCACCCCACCCCAAAAAAAATTTAAAGTTTATTTTTTGTAAAAAATTAACTTCAATAATTATTTTTTATCTAATAAAAAATAAAGATTCTTCTCAGAAACACTTTTCTTTCAAAAATCACACATTAAAATACTTATCGAGAAAATATTCCTTACCAACCAAACATGAAAAAAATAAATATATATATACTTATTTTCCAAAAAAACATTTTCCATGTAAAACATTTTCCTTCACACCGAACTCATCCATAAACTAGGTTATTTTCATTATATTTCATCCCAATGATGTCACTTATTCCGCCACAACTTTTTTCACGCATTAGCTAGCTGAAAATAAATGTCTAAGAAGCATAAAACCTCCTCAAGTTTACCCTAGATTCTCATGTCAATGATGTGGTTTTGTTGTTGACCAAAAAAAATGTGTCACCTAGTCACAAATCTAACTACTGGAAATAAGTCTCTTGATCCTTGAGTTCGTTGCTGAATGGCCATGGATCGTAAATCAAAGTGGCATAACATCACTAATAGACTTGTTTTCCTGAGTGAGAATTTACAAATAGGCTGACTACTACTTTGGAGTTGAAGCCTCAAGGAAAGTTTAGACAATAGGTGCATGGCTAAGTCATAATACTTGGTCAGATGTTAAAAACTGAAATTCAGTGAACTAATCAACAGGCAAGGTGAAACAGAGACAATTCCCCCAGCCGTAAGGGAGTCATACTTAGCTACACTGATTAAACATCTTTCATGGAACAGAGACCAAAGGAAAAGAAAAAGGCAATAACAAGAATCTGGGATATTCCAAGGGGTACAGGCAAAGTCAAGATTCAATACTCCACTTTCGGAGATGTCAGCTTCTTAGTCAATTAAATTATACACTCACACAAGACCTTGGAGTTATATTATCTTGAACAATGGATATAATAATCAATGAAGCCAAATGTAGCATACGATAGCATAAAAGCAAACTGAAATAAAACTGGTCATGGACAGGTCCATAAAAGTCCAATACTGAAGGCTTCAGCCAATATTTATTGGAGGCAAGGTATATCAAGAACCAAATTCACTTGCCAGCTCAATCTTTTCTAACAATCAGATAAAGAACGAGTTCAAAGTTATTAAAGCTTAAGCATTCATCATTGAGTTCCTCCTGCACTCGGACAACATGTCCATGTAGAACTGACACTTGCCAATGTCACTTCCAGAGCTATTAATGCACTGCAAGTTGAACCACAAATAATGGTATCATCAGAATCTTCTTGAGAAAACAAGACAAATCATACTGACTTGAAGGCTGAAAGAAGTAACCTCCAATTTGCATACTATAGTAGTTGAAAGGATTGAAATCAACACTTACATCTTGGAATGCTTTAGTGTGCACACCACAAGCATCAGAACCTGCACTGCTTGCAGCGGATACTGGAGCTGCCGCCGCCTCAGCGACAACAGTTTCATGTTGAATAGTGCGTGGACCCATGACAGCATCTACAGCTCTGTGTGCCACAGCACTTCCAGTACCAAAGGCCATACCTATAGAAACATAATAATCACATCTTTATCCAAATTTGCAACTTAATATAATTGAACAACTCATTAAAGTAACACTGCAGGATATACTCATACCTTGAGCTATGGTAGAACCAATACCACCAAGCATGGATCCACCACCACTACTTTGCATGGGAGCTGGTGGAGGAGCATGGTGTGCTGCCAAAAATTAAGATAAGAGTGAAAAGGGACAAGCAAAGGAAGGAAGATCAAATCACGTCAACCAAATGACACAAGTTGCAAAGAGGTAAAAGCCTGACTACCCAAAAAAAACTAACCAGGGGCTGGAGCAGGACGAGGAGCAGCGCGAGGGGCAGGACGAGGAGCAGATCTTCCTAAACAACAAATCAAGGAAATCAAAAATCATCAACCAGAACAAAAGAGGGACGGAACATCCCCCCTTTTCCTTTTAGCAAAGAATGGAATTGCTCTAATAAGTTACAACAGCTGACTTCAGCTCGGCAGCTAAAGTGTCGACATTACTGGAGAATCAAAATCAACTAGAGCAACCACAACTAACAAAACAATAATATCACAGAATTGGAAGGAAACCATATTCTAAATACAACTGGAAAAAAATTACTACCTCAATCCTATACATTGAACATGAAGAACACCTGCATCAAAGCATATTCCTATAATTGAAGTTTTCAGCAATTCTGCAGGCGGTCTATCTTGTATTCATTAAGAAATTCACTTTAAATCCCGCTCCTTTTAGGAATTGCTGAATCTCATGTCAAACTTCCTGGTCTAATGCTTGACACACAAATCTAGAGGACACAACTAAAAATAAAAACTGTCTACATAACCAGAAATAAAAACTGGTTCTTCGGTGAAACCGCTAATGAGAGGAATCAATGTTGCAATTAGCTTCTGAATGCAACTAAACCTTATTTTCATCTCAAACTACAAACCCAAAAATACAATGGACCTAAGCAAAAAGGAATTCCTAGTTCAACCTAACGTGAGCTCAATTGAGATTATTTAATTGTCACCTGATTAAGCCCCTGAAAAATAACTACAAGTAATAAGCACCGATTTAGGCACCAAATTCAATATTTAAATGTTGTACAGTTTTCTCCATTGCATAAGCATACTTGTAAGGAGGGGTGTGTATCTAGAGGTAAATGTGAACCCATCGGAGGATCAAAAGCTTACATTGTATATATAAGGTATTTTAAAGAAGTATATGTTGATTTTGAACCTCTTGAATGAGGTTGACTTAGTGGCTAACGGGTTCAAAACTTAAAACTTAACTTGAGGTTTCAAGTTCAAATCTAAGGCACTAATTTCAAAAATTTATAAGAGAAGAAAACATTCATGTTCAAAGGCTAAAAGACAATTGGAATTTTGTTAAAGCAATTACTAGTGACAAGAAGTCAATATGATATGATTACACTCAAACAGAAAGCAAAACGATGAATTTATAATGATTCACATAAGTTGAAAGACGATTAATCGTTCGACTTCACTGTAAAGAAAGATCCATATCCGTATCAATAAAAAATGAATGAAAAAAAAACCCAGAAAACAAAATACATCTAAATAGAAAGATGAATAGCGAATCGAATATGCTATGAATAGCGAATCTAATATGCTATGAATAGTGAAGCTTATTACCAGAGCTTCGGCGAGGCATGATTAGCGGATAGAGGCGGCGAAAACGTAGAGAGAGAATTGAGATCACAAAAAACCCTAGAGATATCGATGAAGATGATATTTCTTTTCTTTCTTACCAAATATAAGCATATATTGTTAAACAATGTCCACGTGGTTTTCTTGGTCACCAAGAAAATACAGAACTTTGTGCTCAAGAATAACCCTTTTTTTTCTTTTTTTCTTTTTGATAGCATATTAACTGAAATGCAATTTTTTTTCTATCGTAACGACGTTTTACCTATATTATTTTATCAATTTAAATATTTTTATTATTTTAATTTTAATATTTATTAATTAAAAAAGGAAAAAAGAATTAGTTTATAATAAATATTTAAAAAAATGTTATAAATTCTGACCAATTGATTATATTCAATTTTTGGGTTTTACAACCTCAAATTTCCCCTTCTGTCCTCAAGCACTCGAAAATGAGAAAAATCTAGGAGGAGGAGGCGTCATTACAATGTATGTATCTACGTATGTGTGTACATACATACATACATATCTAAAATTAATTGGTCCAACTTGATTAACTTCTCGATCAAATGCCATAAAAGCTAAAAATTAGTGGACCTTCACAGTCTGATATTAAAGTGTGTGTATATATAAAAATCATAAATTCAACTCTCTCCCTATCAAATTGCTACTTTAATTAAAGATCTAGGATTTCAATTTTAGATGTGAAAAAATTCTTGATAATGAGCACTTCGCCAAAATAAGATCCAAAATAATACACATATCAAACACCAAAAAAAAAAAAAAAACCTCTTTCTAGTGTGCATACTTCAATGTTGACTCTTGGGTCTGTAACAATACCCTCAGTTTTTCAACCTCGTTATAGTTCTCACATAATGAGTAACTTGTTTATAGCACAATTGGTGCCAACGTACCCACTAATGTCAACTAGAAGTACTTCCATATCAATACTAGTGCAAAACGAAGGCTCAAAACTTGAAGAATATTGGCGTTCAGTTTCTCACTGCATTTATATGATTTATGATTTATCAAAGAGACAGATATTAAAAATGCTTTAGTGCTTAAATAAGATGTCGGGTACAAAAACAAAATTAATTACATCTAAAATAGCATAATAAACGTATATTATGGAATTACCTAAAATCTCAGCAATGTGTGTAGCCTGAGTTACAGTAACATCATATGTACAAATGTATGCAACTTTGGCAAATATTAGACGCATAATATTTTAGTGAGAGAGCTCTCCTCTTATCATCATTCAGACGGAAGCACCATGTTCTCATCATCTGATGTGATTATACCAGCAGCCGCCATAACATCTGATCCATCAGCTTCACCATTCTACCAGTCAAAATATCATACCAAGTTTAGTTTAGGTTTCAGAGATTACATATCAAACCCCACCAGAGAGAGAGAGAAAGAGAGATGCACCTGTTCGCTAGATTTTACAGAAAGCTCCTGAGCTCCTGTAGTTGAAACTTTAGAAAGATCTCTTAAAATCCCCTGCAAAATTCACAAAGGAAGGCAAAGTAACATCAACACTCATACAATGACTTTTAAGTTCTGATTATAACTTGCATCAAAACTTAAAAATAGAAGTTGGGAGCAAAAGAGTGTTGAAAGCAAAATAACATACATTTTATGAACTCATTGGATAAGAATACAATATTTCATTTCATAGAAAATACCAAAAAACCCATAATGTGATCGATAGACGAAGGGCTATTCTGAAGAAAGCATCCAAAGGGCTGGCTGATGAGTCTTTTGAATAGAGACATATGAGGAGAAGCAAAAAGTGGCGAAAGGAAAATATATCCAAATATAAGATTCCAGAATTCAACTTCTGGAAGTAGGAATCAAAAGATAAACCAGCATTGAAGGGAAGTAACTTACTTAACACTTAAAGAGTGAGATCACTCACCACCTGGCACCTAGGAGGCAATTTCTAGAAGAACTTGATTTGTCAAAGCGTAACATTACACAGTCAGTGCCGAGAAAAGATCAGTCAGAGCTTTACTGATGAACAGGAAGTATATACAACTAATTGCAGTCATTTAAAGAACTAATTTTGGTAGTTGGTACTTGCTATCTTTTACCCCTTTTTTGGGAACAAGGTATGTACCTCGCCTCTATAACCCCCAAAGGTAGGGGTAAGGGTATGCATACATCCTACCCTCCCCACAGACTGCGAGCTAATTTTATTATAAATAGTACCAAGCAGTTTTATTATTTTGTAGGAAAATTCTCTACACATTTATTTTTACGAACTCAGAAGATGATTGATTTCATTGTCAACTTTTGAAGCTGAAAACGTTTAACACTTTGTAAGTATGCATCTTGCAATTACAAAGCTCCTCATAGAAAGCAACTCCCTGAAAAGGGATCTCAGTGACAGAAAGGTAATATGTTTTGTTTTATCATCCCCACTCAACCAAAAAGAAACACAAATAAACTGGCGAAGGAGAAGGACAATTCCTAATTTTGAGTTCAATAGCCTAATGTAAAAAGAAGAGGCACACTTAACCACAGAATACATACTCTACAAGGTGAAACTACAAATAGGTACTTAAAAGTCCTGGCAGTTTTGCAAAGCCAATAGACATGGCGAGTAAGTCATAAGATAATCCATTCAAAGCATAGTATGACACTAAATAAAAATATGAATATAGAAGTGAAACATTAACCAACTAATCAGATTGTCAGGAAGAGTTAACTACATAATAAAAGATACAGCTAAAAGAAAAGTGAGCAAAGGAGGAAGGATGTAGAAGAACTGTTGGTGTTGGTCAATAACATAGCCAATATTCTTGCAAAACTAGGAGAAAGTAGAGTTAATTTCATGTCCTCCAACTCTTCTCGCATTTTTTTTTCTCGTTCTGCTTCTATACTTCACCTTTTCATATGCCGCTTTAAGGATAACAAGTATTACAGGACATCTGAGGTTAAAACCTCATAAAGTGGCTAATAAACTTTGGGATGTACTTTGGAGCTATAGGGTCATCATTTTTTTCTCTGTCTGCTTCTACACTTCACCTTTTCATATGCAGCTTAAAGGATCAATTCAACATGTATACTATTACAGGACATCTGAAGTTGAAAGGTGGCTAATAAACTTTTGAGATGTGATTTGGAGCTATAGGGTCATCTTGAGATAGGAATATGAACCTTGGGCACATTTGGCTTTTCGAAACCCAAAACTAGGTGGTCTTTGGAAGAACAACCTTGTAAAAGAAAGGGCAGCCCAGTGCACAAAGCACCCCCTGTTAGCAGGGATGTGATGACAAACCTACACTTGTATAATAGAAAAAAATAACCAAAAATTTTGAAAACGTAAAAATAATTCAAATTTATTTTGATTTTCAAGAGAAAAATCTTACACTTTGAAGCTCCAGTTTGACCTCTCTTTTCTTTAATATATATGGTCTCTCTGTAAAAAATATTCTGCACCATTGCTTCTCCCTCATCGTCTTCTTTTTCATTTTTTAGCTTGTGATATCCTTTAAAAATCTTTTTCTCCTTGTAATCATAAGTCATGTTTTTAAGTCATATGGTACAACCTTGTTAATCTAATGCATGTCTTCTTGTTGAATTAGTACATATATTTATACTAAGATGGTTGAAATAATAATGGGGATTAAAACTTACAGTTATAGTTTTTAGATTAAGTAATAACTTTTATTAATATTTGAACAGACAGCGTACACTAGTAACAAAAAGTAGAAATACTACAAAAGAAGATGGTTTTCTATTAATGACAACCAATCTTATATACATAAAGGCACCTTATGGATGCACCAAAAAGAAATAAGGGGTGAAATATCATTCCTTAACTACGCAAAATTCATCTCTACAACTCAAAAGTTTTCTATTTGATGATATAGGACAATGAATAAGAGGTAGTCAGCATCGCCTCAATCATTGCACATAAAGAACCGACCTAAGTTAACTTTCCTCTTTCTTAGATTCTGAGTTATCAAGAAATCACCACTTAAGTTGCTAACCAAGTGGAAAAACATACCTTTCTTGGTACCTTCCAGATCCAAATCAACCTATACAGGAAGCCCACCTCCTTCCTAGTCAAAAACTTCTCATAATAGGCTTTAATAGAGAGCATTCTCTTATTCCCCACCCCCACTTCCATACATCTGCTCTATCATGTGTTATACATTGTTTGTAGAGTAAATCAATAAGCCTTTGGAATTCTCTCACTTCCCAATCCCGAAAGTTTCTCTTGAATCTCAAATGCCAAAACAATTTTCCATCTTTAATCTTGGACTCACTGAACTGTCATCACCTTCTGGCATGAACTTTCTATTAGGGGTGGGCATTGGGTTCTTCGGTTCGATGTTATCAAACTATGGTTCGGTTCTTCAGTTTTAGAAAAGTGTACACTGTATACCAAACCAAACTAATTCCGTTCGGTTCGATTTTTTCTACTTTGGTTCGGTTTGTCGATGTTTCTAAATCGATTTTTCGGTGTGAATGAAAAATAAAATGACAAAATCAAAGTATAAGATACTTAAAAATTTAAAACTATGTTAAGGAATGATGTGTCTCGCTGTAGAACACTTATTAAGCTAACTAAAAGGCTATATTTGTCTTTATAAAGAATATTGTGCCTCCAACTAAATTTGAGAAAAAACAAGTACGAACACGAGTTCCTTTACATAATGTACATTGATAAAAATATGTTTGAGCTCCTCATGGGATATAACATTTGAAGTTAACTATTAAATTGTACATTTGTTGCTACTTTGATTTGTACATGAATGATTTAATTATTAGTTGAATTTTTTTTAATTAAGAGAATGCCCATAAATCATATATATATATATATATATATATATATATAAGATAACCCTCAACCCGGTGACGTGGTGCCAACACAAGCAAGGACTCCCATATATTTTAATATATTTCCAAAAGTACCCTTCCCCTCCTCCCAGAACTTCACATTCAGTTGTTTCCGTTCCTATACAACGTAACTCTTCATAACAGATGTGACGAAGGCCTGTTGGCTCTTTTCACAATCTTCCTCCATCTTCCGAAAAACTTTCATACAGCAACTTCTTCGGCAGAATTTGATATTCTGCATGCGTAGCCTTTAAAGTTGTGCAAATTGTCGATGTTCTTCATGTTCCTTCCCAACAATCTTTCCTTCAGTACCTTTCTCGACTGAATTTGAAAGTTCTCTCATGTCTTTCACGTTGTGCATCAATCTCCTCCCTGTGCTTCCTGTTTCTTCCCAATAACATCCCCTTACCACCTTTATTAGCAAAACAGATTCGAATGATTTTGAAAGTTCTCGTCTGCTGCGATTGTAGTGTGCAGAACACCGACCCAAGTCTCTAGCAACCATCCAGGAAGATGCTTTATCAATCTCCTCCCTGCCGTTCTGCTTCTTTCTTCTTCCACTCAGCAACTTCCCCTTAACACCTTCATCTCTAAAAAACTCGAAACTTACTATGCAGTCTTTGACGTTGGGCACAACGCATGCTTTTCGGTTTGCACACACATTGTTGTTGTAATCCTGTTCCATCTTGTCATTCTGTTTTAACCCGATTGATGCAATGGTATAAAGATAAATTTGTTTTATATGTGCACAAATGTCATGAATGAATCTGTACACTAGCATTATTAATGCAAACATTGGGTGTCCTATCCAACTTGTGTATTCCAAATATTCCATGAGTACTTGTTTACCTCCCACCATCACAAGTATTTGATAGTCTGTTCACCAAGGCTTAGGCAGATGGAATGAAATCATTTATTGTTTCTTGCATCTACTAGATTCGAACTTGAGACCTCATGGTTCTCCTCTCACTTCATTGACAACTAGGCCGTACACCTTTGGGTGCCAATCACACCTTCCTACCTAACCCCAGTTTCGATATCAACCAAGTGAAATATGTAAGAACCATTTTGGTGATTTCTGAAGCAGTATCAGGGCTATGTGTAAACTGGAACAATAGTATGCTTTTCCCAGTCAACAAAGTGGACAACATCCAAGTTTTAGCAGGAGTTCTAGGATGTGAGGTGGGATCCTCACCTACTGTGTATCTAGGGCTGTCTTTGGGTGCAAAAAGTAAAGCTATGGAAATCTGGAACGGGGTTATAGAGAGGTGTGAAAAAAGGCTTTATAACTGGAAGGGGCAATATTTATCATTAGGCGGCAGGATCATTCTAGTCTATAGTGTATTGGATGCTCTCCCTACCTATGTCATGTCTTTGTTTCCTATCCCTTCTAAGGTTTGAAAAGATTAGATTCCTTGAGGATGAATTTCATTTGGCAAGGGAACAAAGAAAAGAAAGGAATTCATTTGGTCAAATGGGAGTGCCTCATCACCAGCAAAAAGGATGGAGGACTTGGCATTAGAGACCTCAAAGCCCATAACCAAAGCTTGTTGATGAAATGGTTATGGAGATATAACTTGGAGACTAATTCATTATGGAGGAGATTTATACATGATAAATATGGCCAAGATGACCAGTGGTGCTCAAAATATGTCAATTGTCCCTTTGGAGTTGGAGCTTGGAGAGCCATTAGATCCTTTTGGCCACTTTTGGCTGGAAATGCCAGTCTCAAAGTTGGCAACAGGAGGAAAATTCTCTTTTGGCATGACAACTGGCTTGGGCATGGTCCTTTGAAGTTTTGTTCCCTGATTTCTACACTATTGCTACTTAACCAGATATTAACCTTGAATCAGCTAAAGGAGTACATGGGTGGAATATCACTTATAGAAGATTACTAAATGACTGGGAATTGGAAAGAGTCGTGGACTTGTTCAAGACCTTGGAATCTTTCCAAGGTTTCAAAGAATCTGAGGATAGTTTGTGCTGGAAATCTGGAAATGATGGAGTCTACACTGTCAAATCTGCATACAACTACCAGATTAGACAAAATGCACAATTTGACAAGTGGCCATGGAAGTTCATCAGGAAGACTAAGGCCCCTTGCAAAGTCTTATGTTTTTCTTGGCTAGTGGCAAGAGAAGCAGCATGTCTCACTCAAGAAAACTTAAGAAGAAGGGGATTTCATCTGTGCTCTAGGTGGTGCAGCCGGAGAAAACAATAGCCATCTCTTTCTACATTGTCCCATAACTGGACAAATTGTGGCAACTTCTTTTGAATTTGGTAGAACTAAGATGGTCTATGCCAGCAACAAGTTCTGATTTATTTAAGTGTTGGAACTATAATGGTGGTGCAGTGAGTCAAAAAAAGTGGTGGGAACTTGCCCAGCTTGTATATGGTGGACAATTTGGAAAGAGAGGAACTAAAGAATTTTTGAAGACAAAAGAAATCCGGTGCATAAAGTCAAAGATGAATTGTATTCTTTTGTTCCTTTTTTGGTGTAAAGAAAATTACGTAGAGGAGACTGAATCACTAGTTGATATAATAGGTTCCTTGTAATTGTAGATAGCTCTGTCATGGTGATAGCACTAGTTGATATGATACGTTCCATGCTATAGTCTTAAGCATGGTTGGGATAGCACTGTCATGGTGCAGATCTAATTTCACACACACACACACACACACCCTTACCAGTTTCCAAAAAAAAAAAATTGGTCAAGGGATCACTGCTTATCCCTTAAAACATAGAAACGAGAATAGTACAACATAACACACAATACTATTTACATAATGAGGCTCATATAAAAGGAACAAAATGTCAAGACACAATTATCACTATGTGAACTGACAAGTGGAAAAACCAAGGTGTATAGTTTTCAAACACAATAATAACCTTATTGGCCCACGTAAGTCCACATGCATTGCGTAGTGACTTATCCCTTAAACATAAACGAGAATAGTACAACACAACAAACAATACTATTTACATAATGAGGTTCATATAAAAGGAAGAAAATGTCAAGACACAATTATAACTATGTGAACTGACAAGTGGAAAACCAAGGTGTACAGTTTTCAAACACAATACTAACCTTATTGGCCCATGTAAGTCCACATGCATTGCAAAGTGACCTCGGGCCAGCTGGTCCACGGCGCATCATAGGAGTGGATTTCGAACTAGTTCCACAATGTCTACATCTGTTGAGACAACAAGAGAATAAGATATCAGCTACTGCATTTGTTTTATTTGATCAGTTCAACTTAGACGCCACATGGGTCAACATGTTATCACTATTACTGTCTGACTTAATCAACAGAACTGAAACACAAACGACTACAGAACTATAGAAGTCTGACACTCACAATGTTTCCTGTTCTTCTTGGCTAGAGCCTGCATTCCCCTCTGCAGAAGAAGAAGCTGCTTCATCAGATACTGTCTTGGAAGATGTAAACTGACCCTTTTTTCGCTGCATCCTGACAATAAATCCAAGAACTGTGAGATGCAATAGAACACAGATCAATTTGACCAAAACTACTTTGAATGACCACCCTAACTAGACCCTGCACGTCAAAAATAGGCAAAGACTGAACTTTTGAATGACCACCCTAACTAGACCCTGCACGTCAAAAATAGGCAAAGACTGAACTTTTGAATGACCACCCTAACTAGACCCTGCACGTCAAAAAATAGGCAAAGACTAAACTTTAGAGCTTCAAACAGAAAAAGAAAAAGAAGCAAGTAACCTTAAAAAAATTTCCTATCCTCCATTCCTCCCTAGAAATCTCTAGTAAAAAATTTTCACTGGACTAAGAGCCTGTTTGGCTCAGCTTAAAAGCTGGTCAAACTGACTTAAAAGCTGGTTTTTGACTTATTTAGCTGTTTGGTAATACTAAAAATAACTTATTTTAAGTTAAAAAAAACTTATTTTAAGCCAAAAGTTAAAAGCTGGGGTAGGGGTGCTTTTTTTTTCCAGCTTATGAGCTGTTTTAAGTCGACTATATTTTTACCTTTTTGCCCTTAATATTTTTATACACTATCCAAATTACCCACATAACCCTAACATCTCTTTCTTCTATTTTTCCCTTTTCATGTGTGGATGATAGACAATTACTATTACTAATGAATGAAAATAAAATAAATCTTAAATCTTTCAAGTGATCTATTCAAATTATATATTATTAAAATGTAAAATAAGTTGCACATATAACTTAAATAAAAATTTATATTCCTCTTATAAATAAGTTGTGATAATAAAGAAATATGTGAATGATAGACAATTATTATTACCTATGGATGAAACTAAAATAAAATCTTAAATCGTTCTTTAATCTATTCAAATTATATATCTTTAAAATCTATAATAAGTTTATATTCCTCTTATAAATAATTTGTGATGAGAAAGAAATATGTGAATGATAGCAATATATAATTATTTATGGCTGTAAAATATAAACTAATTAAATTTTATTATGTTAACAGCTTTTAAGGGTATTTCAGACATTTTGATTTAAAAAGCTGTTTATCAGCACTTATTTGCCAAACACATCAACAACTTTTTTTTTAATTTCAGCACTTTTATCCAAACGCATAACTGCTTATTTTAAAAATAAGTTTCAGCACTTTCAAAAGTACTTTTTTAAAGTTGTTTTTATTAAGCCCATCCAAACGGGCCCTAAGAGGTGTTTAACCATGAATTTTTTTATTTTTATTTTTTGGAGTTGACTAATTTGGTCATAAATTCAAAATCCAACTTTTTAGGATTTTGAAAAATATCAAAAAGTTATTTTCAATTTTTTTTATGACGGTGGTGTTCGGGCAGCTATTGCGCACCTTGACTAATTCCAAGGGACACATGTTACCTCCCACCAACAGCAGGTATCAGGTAACTTTATCCACCAAGGATAGGACAAATGGGACGAATCACCTAAAAACAATTCCCACTCTAAATTCTCACAATATTTAAAAACAACTTGTAACAATGGCCAAACACAACCTATAGAACATGGGGAAAGAAAAGAAAAGAAGATTGCATTCACAACATTTACACTGTCTCAAGCCCACAATTAGATGTTACTACAAACATCTTTTAGCAATAGCCATTTTACTTCTATAAGAGAAGAGTTCAAAATTGACATGCCCGCGAAATGAGATTAAAATAACCCTTACATGAGAGAAGCCAACGGAAGATCCCATTCACTACCATCAATAAAATGTTTCTACACATTACCGTGACCAGCTTGACACCTAGAATCCACCCACCAAATCGAATACCAAGTCAACAGATTGACAAGGAATGTGTCACTCTAGTATGCAAATGCCATTAAGCTCCTTAAAAAGCTTCCTCCAATGATCTTCTTACTGAAAGTGCATATCCAGTCATGGCATTGGTGAACCCATTATGAGTGTAAGGAAGTCAGGGTTATAGTTGCCCTTCATCGTACTTTTTTTGATATATTTGCCCCTACAATCCAACTTAAGGCACATATGCGCCCTTGAGATGGTGTAGTCTCATCTCCCCGCTTTTATCCTCTTAAGTGGCACCTATATGGCATGCCTACATGGATATATATATACATATATTATTTGTTCCATTTAAATTTCCTCCTAATTTAATTATTATACGCAACTTAATATCGTACCCACCCATTTCATCCATAAAACCCACTCCTAGTACTCTTATTTCATTGTCACTTCTCCATGAAAAAAAACCCATCATGTTAACATGTCAAGCAATGATTTATTTATGGTTAAATTTTCAGTTCACTTTCACTAAATACATCTGCTTTTTTCATTTTTCAGGAGGGTTGCCCATGCTCTGCCACTATAACATTCTCTGTTCCTCCTCAGCTTGATGGATAGTACTTTGGCTAAAGCATCACAATCTACAGCAGTGAATCCCTTTCATCTGGAGCTAAGAGGCATGTGCTGAAGTTTTTCCTTTTTTTCACTTCAGGATAGATAGCATATTTCCATGACTTTCTAATCTTTTGTTATGTTACATAGAACTGAACTGATTATGTTTACAACTTAGTGGTATCTCCATTACTCAAAAGGTGTTTTTTAGAGCTTGCAGTTTTGTTTACTGTACGTTCATCTCAACAAGGGAATCATAAATTAGTACCTACTGTATATACTAAAATAAATAAATAATTACAACTAAGGGATAATTTCATAGACCTCCCTCCTCCCTCCAAGTTCCCTTTATAATACTTAGTTCCCTTGTGTTTGAGATGACACCTGCCTTCGTAAATTTGATTCTTTTGTAACCAAACTAGTTTTAAGTAATAAAAGTCATGTATAATCCAAGTTTACAATAGTCAAACTTTATTAACTGCCCTTAATTTGAAGTGATCCATACTTTCCTAGTCAACATAAATTTGCTAGTTGCGGATTTTCAAGTTTTTCAGAGTTCCGATGGAAAATTTCAAGTACTACTAAAGAAACTTAGCACTTAACCTGTTCACCAACAAAATTAGATAGCTGTAAATTGGGGAAAATCTTGCAATAGGTTAGAAGCATCCATAACCAACAGTTTGAACACGATAAATCAAGAAAAAGTAACACAGGAAACTAGAAAAGAAGAGGAAAAGAAGAAAGTCGCAAAAGGAGCTGTAAGTTGTACAGTTGCAAAAGGGTAAACTCGGAATACACATAATTATTATTATTTACAAGGGAGATGAGTGTCAACCAGTAAACCATGAGGGAGGTAAGCATTATGAAGCTATGTTTCTCAGACTCTTCAATTATTTCAAGGGGTGCATGTCGGATTCGCCAAAAGCAGTGTATTTTTGAATAATCCGACATGGGTGCGGCATCAGAAGTGAAGAGTCCGCGCAACTTATTTATGAAGCCAAACCTGAGGGGAGGTCTTCGAAATTATCCCTAAAAGTCTAAAACAAAGTAAATAATAAACCACCAACATATCAGGGAAAGGAAAAAAACAACTGATTTATATCTCACTCACTCCATCTTCTTCTTTTTAAGTCTTACCCACTCCAACTTAAAAGCAGGAGACTTGAACTCATTTATACCATACAATTAGCAGCACAGCAATAACAGAAACTTCTAGCATTCAGTAAGATGAGGAACTAGCAGAAAGGTATCATAACAATATGCCTTACAAGGGACAAGTTGTCACTGTTCTTCTATGAAGCATATGGAGACAGTTTGCTAACTTTTCAGGCAATTCTTTGTTTTCTCACACACTCCATCACATAGCTATCTAGAGCAACAAAAAGTGACTAATGTAAAGCATCAAATAAGTGTATTTAATACTCCAATTCCAACTAAATTAAAGGTAAGCTAGATTAGAGACAAAAAGAATTGGAGATGACTACTGATTAGTCATGGTACATCAAACATGGTTTTCATTTATCCAACACTTCCAACGTTATCTTTAAGGAAATAAATAAAGCTATATTACCGAAGTGCAACTTCTTTCCGAACAGTATATCGGATCTTTTTATCAAAGCATCTTTCTTTCCTTTTTTCCCTAAAACGACTCAAAGAAGCCGCCCGTTGTGGTTGATTCAATCTTCCAGGACCTTCACTTGAAGCCTAGGGAAATTGCAAGATAAGAACCATAAATGATTGCAAACCAGTGTAACAGCAGAACACTACACGAGGGAGTAAAAATACATACCCTATGACTCTGGGAAGCCATATTGACAGTAGGGATGCCAGCAGGGACTTCATATCCCCCCAACAGCAGCAGCACCGCCTGAACCTGAAAATCAACGGAGACCCAAAAAAACATTATTTCTCCATATAGTGATTGCCTTAATGACAAAATTATTCATCATTTCCAACAAAAAGAGACCTAATTAGAGCGGAAAAGATCATAGAATAATCATTTAGCTGACCTCATCGGGATTGAGGCATAATTGATTTCAAGATTGATTCATCATCGATGCTTGTTGATAAGCAGACAGCAATTCAAGCAAACTAAGCTAGATAAAACTTAACCCATCTCCATAAAGTTCTTAAATTTAAGTGTCACTCCTATATTTGGAAAAGCAAAGACCTTGGTTGACCTCCTTACTTGAAAGGCTAATCAACTTTTCATACTGACGAACCTTAGAAATTACCAAATCCCAAGTCTTGAATCACCTCAATTACAAAAGCAACATCAACAACACCTCAATCCCAAGCTAGTTGCAGTTGGTTATATGGATCCTCTCTATATATTTTGCTCCATTTGGAAGCGTTCATTCCATTAAAGCAGGTGTTTGCCTGGACTTCTATGTCCTACAAAACTTGGTGTTTTTCAGTTCTTGTGGAAACCATGTAATGTAATCCATGAATATACTAAGCAAAGGCCTTATTGATGGGGAATGTCTGCCTGGATTTATGTGCCATAGACTCTCTAACAAAACCCTAGTTTATCCTACGCTTTTAGAAACCACGCTCGTGGTATGGACCTCTAATACTAAACAGACAGCAAATAAGGTGATCCATTCCCATGTAAAGGCCTAATTATTTGTACAAGAACAAGAAGAAAGACCTAAATCGAAGAAGCACCTTTTCAGGAGAAACAGCATCATACACAAACACTTCGCCTCGAAATGACAGCGTAAGCTGATCGCTACTTCCTCCCCCAACCATTTCCGAGCCAGGGACATATAGAGAGTTATGCGGAACGCCTTCTACACCATTCAGCGCCGCCGCTGTAGTAGCTATGGTACCATCGGTGCCGTTGTGGAGCCCGTGGTGGTTATGGTCGTAGCCAATGTGATGAGAAGAGTCTTCTATGGACTCCATTCCTCCTCCACCGCCACCGCCGGCGACGTCAACGTCATCGTCGTCACCGTCGTCGGCGAAATGAGTCTGTTGCTGTCCTTCTCGCTGTACTGCTGCGGTCATTGTTTCTCTTCTGTACATCGTGTCTCTAATCCCTGTCATATTTCTCCCTGAAAAATCCTTATATAAAATTATTTGGGTTAAGGCTACTCTCCATTACCTTTTTTCTTACTGGAGATTATTTTTGCTTAGGGCCTGTTTGGAAAGTTCATCATGTTATTTGAATTTTGTGTAATTACATGTAATTATGATTCGGTTTCTTTTCATTTTTTCCGAGTTTTACTTTGGATGAGAGACAGTTTAAAATTAATGTTTGTGATCTGATTAATTATAGCAAAGTCCTGATCATATTTGTTTACTTTCATATATTTACTTCTTAAATATTTTTGCAAACAACAATTCTATATAGTTTTTTCAAAAGAGTAAAAATATTAAGTAAAAGTTTTATATCTGTATGCAGGGTAGTAAATAATTTTTCTAAGTATATTTAGGGAATATATAATGAATTGCAAAAATATTTAAGAAGCAAGTAACCTCGGGGCGAGGGGACGGGGATCAAGAGCCGACATCACACGACCTCAGCGAAGAGGGACGTGAGGACCTTCCTCGAGGCAAACAACCTTAGGGCGGAAAGATGGTAGGGGCCTGCCTCGAGGCAAGGTGATCCAGAGGTAGAGGGGGTGGGGGTGGGGGTTTGCCTCGAGGCAAGCGGCTTCGAGATGGGTGGGGGCCTCGGACAAGTGACCTCGGGGCAAACGGGAGAGGGTCGGAGCAAGCGGACTCGAGGCAGGCTGGAGGGGGCCTCCGGGCAAGTAGCTTCGAGGCGGGCGAGTTGATGGGTATGCAAAAATCTACATGAACAAAATAGTCACACTCCATACGATTTTAGTGTCCATAATGTATAACAGAGGATCATATTCATGTTTTTAAAGTATTTTCAACAAGCCTTAAGTACTTGAGAATATCTTAGTATTTCATTTCATGACAGACGAACAGTTTGAGTGCACTATTCAAATTTTAGAGAACATGTTTTTGCACAATTGATCTTAGAGGTAATAAATAAGCTTACTATCCTTAACTGGAATTTCCTATAACATTTTTCAGTCAGATGACTCTAAATGAATCCTTATATGGTACGTAACTTTGTTTTCTTATCGAATGGTATGAAGTTGGAGAGACTAATGTATTAGGACAAGACCTGATACAAGAAGTTATTGTCAAGGGCCAGTTAATCCTTGATCACATTTCAAAGTAGGAAAAAATTCTTATGTGGATTAGAGTTGAACAAAGTTAGTGCCCACAGATAGGAAGATAATTATCATATGAGTCTTCCTTATGACATGATTAGAGAAAAGAGGAAAATTGAACCCGAGGCTTATAGGTCATACATATTTATAACCGAGATATATAATGGTGTTTGTTTGGCACTTTCTTCGTGAGATGTCAATTCTTTACCTATTGTTTAAGGTCTCTAAATGTATATCAAATACCTCTTATGTGTTTGAAACATAGACTATATAACTTGACGAGGACTTAAAGTATGGAAATAAGAAGCCAACTACTATTGTTGGCAAACACATAAGAAAGTTATAATCAAAGAATTACTTGAGACAATAGAAGTCTTATGGATAAATCATATTATTGAAGAAAATATTCGGGAGTCCGAGCAAGTGTGAGTCATCAAATATGCACTTTATATTTGAAAATCAAATTTCATAAGGTGGAAAGAATGTAACACCCATATTTTAAATAAGGCCAAATATGGTATTTGGTCTAAACAAAATTAAAACGATTTCAAAGACTAAGGACCAAAGCCCACTGAAGTGTCATACCGTACATTAAATAAGATCTTTCTAAAGAAATAATAGTCACCCGTACTTCAAAGAAATAGAGATTTTATGCAGTAAAACAAAAAATCAACTAAAGCTCATATCAACTTCAAATCATTCAAAGTGCATGTTAAAAAAATTTGGCAAATATTTGGACTTCAACAACTACTATCAAAAATCAAGATAATATACACACACCATAATATATGATTTATTATGAATGGATAACTTGAGCATAGTTTTTTTTAGGTAGTCCTTTGATTGGAAACTTTAAGAAGTTAGCAATATAAAGCCCAAAGAAGGAAAGTTTTGGGCAAGACTATATCAGATATGGATTAATCACTATTTTTGGTATAAGTTCGAGCAAGAATTGGAGAAAAAAATTATATGAATAGGCTGAAACTTATATCTATTGAACTAACTAATTACTTAAACAATGGGTACATATAGTTTGACAAAGTTAGACTCAAACATAAAATGTCAAGGGGTGGGTTCTTATAAAATAGTTATTGAATTAGCCTAAATGAAGAAAAATCAACATGAGTTTGATATGATGGGATTATAGATTGATCAAAGGAAGTTATACATATGGTTGGAGGTGGCGAGTTTGATATTTTGTCCCGTACTGGTCTTACCACAATTTGTGTTTTACAACTTTTATGATTAATACATGGTTTATAAAGTGAATGTTTTACCGAATATTTTTAACTTACTATGGGACAAGCCTTTTACTTGATATGATACCAAAATAGATATTTGAGATGAACTCACTTTTATAAAAACATGTTTATTGATACTTGAGATATGACTATAGTATTTTGACATATGTTTTGGTTAAATTTTTATATACTATGATTTGATAAGAACTTAAATGTCTTATAACATTTTAAAATCTTTCTACTATTTACAAAGAAAAGTATAGATTGGAGTAGACTTAGATGGATCTCGTAGCTAACGGCGGGTTCTTTAGGCCTAGTGCACCTTGTAGTTACAAATTACTGATTATCCCTTGCTAGTGGAAAGGTAGAAATAACATATCGTTACTGATATCCCTTGGGTAGGGATCTATTGAAATGAATATTTTTTTTCTTTATGAAGGCCCTACAGTTATTGACTATTTCTTAAAGAGAAGAGTCACACTAATTACGTGGTTTATTTTGGAAACCTCCAAATATAAGATTTTCTATGAAAAATAGCGAAGCTAGGAATTTCACAAAGGGTATCAAAAAAGGGGGGAGAAATTGTTCCTAGTGAGATTGAACGCATGAGCACTTAGATAGGGATGGCAATGGAGCGGGGCGGATTATGCTTAACCCGCATAGTTTTTAGTCAGCCTCGCCCGACATTGCATATCAATGTTTTTCATTTTCAACCAACCCCACCCCGTATGAACCTGCCCCGTATAGTTTTTAAAATATATTGTTTTTCTAATTAAATTTGATGCTAAAAAGAAAATTTATAAAAATAAATTTATTTTTTAATTAAGTTGTATTAATTAAATAGGATAGTGACTTAAAAAATATTTTTTTCAAGGTCAATTGAGAAACATGTAAGACATTATATTATTTTTATTAAACCATTTTCATTTACTATCTTGAATATTTTAGTAGCTTTAAAGAAGCTATCTTAATAAATAACGTTCTATCCCTCTTATAACATGCTGAATTAATTTTGAACCAACATAAAATCACATATATCCATAATTCATCCCACTCCGCATTAGTTTTAAAAAATCCCACTTTACTCCGCCTCGCAAAACCTTAAACCCACCCCGCCCTCGCATAGATTTAAACTCACCCCGCCTCATTGACATCCCTACATTAGGCTCTTTAAAGGTATATGAAACCACTAAGATATAACACCTTGTTCTATAAAAAGAGAGTGATCGAAGTATGTTATTTAATCACTTCGTATATCATTTTACTTATATATATACAATATTATTTTTCGCCTGACTATAAGGTAGTTACGCCCCTGACTATCAATGCGTCTTTTTTAGTTTATTTCTGAAAGTTCATATTGATTTTATTTGCCTCTGACAAATAAGATTAAATATTATTGTCATTTCTGAAAGGACATTAATTTTATCATTTTGATTATCATACTAGCATGTTTTCAAACTTGTCCCTCATTAAAATGATTGTGGTTAAGTATTATTACTCACTCAACTAGCATCTCACTCCTCGCTAATTGTTTTTACTAAGAACTCAGGTGGTATTGACGAGTATTTCATTAACCAGGGAGTGTGATTTTCTAGCATCTGGTGAGTCTCGCATTGCTTCACGTGAAAAAAGATTTATCGAATTGTTATGTTTTTTTTAACTCTTAGAGTCGCTCCAATTGTTAGTCCTTTATTAGAATCATGATTATTCCTTCATATTGTAGTCAAGTGACTAGTTTTAAACTTTCTTTCGTATTTGGATAAGAATTGGTATAATTGTGTGGCAATTGAATTGATGATGAATATTGGGTCATGAGATCGAGATGGTATTGTTTGAACGACGCTTCTTCGTTAGGTGTCGTTAGTTGACACTTATCCATTTGGCAGAATGGATCAAAATGAACCTCTCTGACAAATGGTCCATCTATGGATTGACATATCGTCAAATAGGAATCGTTAATTGGTCCTGCACACTGGTGCAAATTTCTGTCAAGCCAAGGGTGATTTGGTGAATTCCACCCTTGGACAATTAAGTGTCGGGTGGGTCTAAATTAGTAATTTTAAGTATATTAAAAGACTCTGACTCATTAAAACAACTAACTCTTCATAACTTCCAAATCAAAACCCACTTTCCCTTCTCACAAATTCTCTCTCTAGACCACCATTGAAGAACAAGGAATAATTCAAGCTAGGGCACTCAAGATACATTCTTTCTCACCTCAATTTTGTGGAATATCATCAACTAAGGTATGGGATATTAATTCATTGATTATTTTCTCCTTGAAGCTCTTCAAAACTTCTAAATTTGAAATCTATATTATGACCAAAACTAGGGGTTTGTAATCTAGTCATGGGTTCACTCTTAAATCATTTTATTTATGTTATGTACCTTATATTATGATTATATTGTAATTAATTGATGATTTCTATTGTGAAAATCCCCCAAGAACCCATGTGACCCCATAACGCAACTTTCATGAATGTTGTAGGATGAATTGAGTAAACATGAGCAGGATGTATTGTAATTGATGATTATCTAGTCATAGAATCTTGTCTTTCATGCCTATTGTGATTTGAATAAGGGTGATCAT